TCCCCTGGTAATTGTATAGCGCTATATTCTTATCGTTCGATTTATAATAGAGCTCGGTATTCACTCTTTTCGTTCGTCTTTTTAGTTTCAATTTAACACGCTATTTATAATTTAAGGTATTATGACATTTTCTTTCGTTCTAATTTTATATTTAATAAATAATTTTCTATCGGATTAATAAAATTACTCCCTGAATCGAATTTGTATGCAAGAGATGAGTTTTCGTTGACCATCATCACACCTTATCATTACTCGCGTTACCGTACGAAAAAGGAGCATGAAATTTATGCGTTGTTTTGAAATATGAAAACGGTCATTACGAAAATGCGACCGCGGCCGGCCATCGCTAAAGCGATCATTAAACGGACCCTCAATTAACATATTCCGGGCATAAATCTTCGATCGTTAGAGATGGGGTCCCTTCGATCGTTCGAATAACCTCTCTGTGCCGCCTCCAAGCGAGAACTTATAATCAATTTCTCACATAAAACGCTGTAATAACGCAGGTCTATGATTAATCCGGATGCTTGATCATATTCAGGTGATCGAATACGAAAGATGATCAAAATGAACGAAAACGAAATGATTCTAAAAGTTCTTAAAACTTAAGCGGTATAAAAAATTTTTTTTTGTATGTAATAAACTCGACGAACACTTCCACGTTAACGGTAAATATACGATCCAGGAAAGCTAAAGCAGTAAAACCGAAAAGTTACTGAACTTAATTACAGTTTATATTGGCTCCTTCCACTCAGCGCAGTTAGATGATGCGAAATCGTCTCTATAATCTCTTCTAAATCGTTACTAATTGTACCAACACTCGTGGATTAATAGGAATCATGACATGTGTGAAATATCGAACCAATAATATTCAATTTATAATCAATAACTTAGTGTGAAGAGTGGTCGATTGACTATTTCTTGTGTTTATGTGTGGTAACATAAACGATAAATTTAAAGACTTTTTAGAACCGTTCAATATTATATGTTATTTTTTTTTCTGATTTATTGCATTTTGTTACCATAAGTTAATTTATTGAAGGTTTTCTGGTAAATTACTCAACTTTAATTCAAGAATTGGATTTCCATAATAATTAGCAATATATTATCTGTGTCAACATCAAGTTCAGTTAAAAGGATAATCTTTTAAAAAAATAAAACGTTTTTTATGGATAGTTTAAACTCGAGATGGTGAATTTGGTCCTCTTTGCAGTAGGGCCAATTCAAATACGCTAGTATTTAGTGAGAACCTGAATCACCAAGGTTATCACCCAGCGTCTATCATGCCAAAGATAAGATTTTATCTTCAAACAAAAAAGCAGTTGGTCCCAGCACGACAATATGAGGTGATGGATCTATCTTTTACTCTAGAAAGTTTTTCTCGCTGGTAGTGACTATCCAATGTCAACGTTGTTGGTCGCAAGACCAGAATATTACCAAAAATGTTAGATGAAGTATTGAGGATTGCAGCAATATGTGAAAAAACGACTGAAATATATCAGGGATTAAGTTGGGTTGATAAGGTGATGTGGTGTTTGTAAATAACTAATACATCGTCAGGTATAACCTTAATATTGAGGACGTAAGCTGCTAAAGTTGTGATATTTGGCCACAAGCAACGAATTATTCCCAATATGTTGGGTAAACAATATTACTCCCGATGAACTATCAAAAAGCTAGCAGATGAGGGGTCCCAAGTGCACACCCGTTTAAAAGTAGCACATTCCAGCGAGCTTCTATATAAAACAACATCAAAAATATCAATTGCATTCTGCTTAAAAGGTGCACAACGATGTAAGGGACACAATAACTGCACTCATTCCATATTTGGCAATGAAATACAAAAGTTTGTCGTTTCAGAAAAATGAGCCCATATTGCCTGATACTATAAGAAGTAAATTCTACAAATTATTACTTTATCAGTTTTTCATGCGTTTATTGCTTTACTTTTCAGTGATTGTAGCTCGTATTTCTTGCATCATATGGCAGTATTTGTTTCTTTGCTAGATATCTGAAAAAACCTCAATTTTGTGTATTGTAGCATGTTTCATGGTCAATTTCTTTAAAAAAAAATGTTGAATTGGAGAAAGGTTAACACTACCCCAGAAATGGGACAAAATGATCAGTTATCAAAGAGGTATTAACAGATATTATTCTTTGATTTAGAGCAAATCATTTCTGAAAAAATGTGGAACTCAAGAGTAGACATACCCGCCTGTTCAATAGAGCTATTCCTTCTTTACCTGCTAACCCGGACGTTATACATTCTTCTGCATCTGATCGTTCTGTGATTGTTTACATTTTCATATTCTGATAATTATTTAATATCTGGTTTTCAGCCCACCCAAACTGTTTCCACACATTAGTCTTTCTGGACACTTATTTTGAAAAGTCCTCGTAGTCAACTTTTTTGACATCGTGATTACTTAATAAGATTTTGAAACTGAGTTTTTCGGGTTGCCAGAAAATTCAAAAATATTTCATTTCTATAAGTTCTATCAATTTTATCTCATCAATCTAATTTTGTCGATGAAAATGTTAGAAGACCAGAAAAAATGGTATCAAAACTTGTTAGAATCAACAGGGAATAATACATGCGTGACGTAAACATTTTCATTTAGTTGAAAAAAGTGCCTCAATTTAGCGTTTTTTAGCAGCCGAGTAACAATACGTTGGAAAATATAATTGGAAAAAAATAAAATAAAATAAAGTTGTTCAAAATAAAATATTCGATGGAGTATTATGTGAAAAATTTGTTATTTACAAAATCGTTACATACTTAATAATTAAAAATATTACAGATATTAAGTAACATATATCTAAAAGTTACGGATTTCCTCGTATTTTATGTCTCATTACGAAATAATGCAAAACCCATAAATCATAAACAATTTTAATATTCAAACTAAAATTCCAATTACTATTTCTGGATTGAATCATATCCTGGGATTATAAGAACCAAGAAATCTATTTCCTTCCGTAATTCCAATTCAAAAATTTTGTCGGTTTCGATAACCGATAAAATTCATTGTAAATCTAAAATAATAGGTGTTGGAGGTAATTTGATAATCTCACTACTATAACGATTTAACCCACTCCCACTTTTTTATTACTAAAAAAAGTCATCGTTGTCGTTTATTAACCAAGAGCCGATACCTTCTTCGTCTTCGTCGTCACCATCCTTGGGTTCCTCTTATAACTCCTTATAACTTGTTCGTGCATCTTGTTTATGGGCAATTTCCCGAACGCAACGACCTGTTGTTGTTGAACGCGAAAGGGGACGCCCTGAAATTGAGTTTGAGGCGTCTCTTGGACGACTCCCCGGTATCTGTTTAAATAGCCGCCGATCGACGTCTTTTTTCCGATGGAGCGTAATTTCGTTTTTAAGCCGCGACGAAAACTACCACTAAACCGATTTTTTCTTTTTTGTTTTCGTCCCCCACATCCTTCGGCCGTTATTAACCCGAACCCGGATCGTAATATGTTTAATTACGTATGATGGCGTCGATGAAAGTGTTAAAGTGCGCGCTTCGATGATGTTAATGGTACCGGAGATGCGTTTACGGCAAATTTGCAGTTTATATATTTTAATCGAAACCGTTTACCCCGTGGCCAAAACCGTAACGGTCTTAATACTTACTTATTTTAAAGGGTAGTTTTCGGGTTTTATAAAATGGTTTTTAAAATTGGAAATCTTACAAAAAATTCTCTCCATTTTTGAGTTAATGTCTTTTGAGCCCAAGAGTTTTATGTCTATTTGAAATTTGATGAGATATTTTATCAAAATATTGACATAATTATGTATAGTCGAAGTCTATACACATTACGTCGTAATTAGTTTGAGATTTACGGTTTTAATTTAATGAGTGGTTTTATGGGTAATCAAAAGTGGCGCTTTATGAAACCAGTCGGTTCATCCGAAATTGAATCTTCGTCGTCTAATCGACTCTCAAAATTGCATTTACCCCCGGCGGTGATCTTCTGCAATTAAACTTTCTAATAACCAGGTACCCATAGGCTTTAAGGTGTCGTGCCTATTAAGATGACGCCACGCACACCATGTCGACTTGCAAGGTTTGCGAAAGCGGGACTTTACAACGATTCAATTAATTTTAACGTTATTGAATAGATCCAACTATATTTGATTATCCACTTAATCTTCTTACTTACACAAAAAAAGGAGATAAAAAAATGTAATTAACAAGCTGGAAGGTTGAGTGGTTGGGTTTATATGTGGAAGCATCATCGAAGAAGAACAAAGGCAAACATTGTCTTGAAAGAAAACGGTCGTGAAGAGGAGAAGAGGGCGCAACGGCCGCATCTGGCCGAAGACAAACCGTTTTAACACCGTGCCCGCTATTAATCATAATCAATTCCGGGCAGCGGCTACTCATTATGGGCTGTTATAGATCCCTGATAGTCCACTACGGCCAACACCTTCTGACAGGACCTTCTTTTTCTCTAACCATCGTTACAAGAAATCCCTTTTTAGTTATAAATATCAAAATTTAATACCAAATTATTTTTTTTTTTAATTTCTATATACTTTTAGTATGTTTATACAACATGATTACTTAAAAGTTTAATTTTAACATTTATGGGGGTGTGTGTGATCATGACTTGTATATCGGAGTGTCAAGAATGCGGATGTTCCTGCCGTTTCCTTCTTCCATTTTCTCAGAATGTTAGATAACGAAGGACTTCGAGTTAATTGCCATGTCTACGATAAAATTAATCGCGATTTACGTTCATCGGATTTAATAGGAAACGAGACGCTTAAATAATATTTGTATTAAATAATAATAAAGAAAAGGGAGGAAATTAGCTATGTTTATTAATGCATCGTGCATTTACACACAACTTACTTAGTTTTAATAATTAATTTGATTTGTATACTTTCACAAATTGAAAAAATATGACAGTCATATAGACAACCCAAATTACACCGAATAAAATTTTCAAGGAATAATATTTTTATTATAACACAAATAATACATAAAAGGAAATAATTTTATCTCAAACAACACAAACAAAAAAGTAAATAAACTATATAATTGTTTAGTCCTCAACCCATTCGAAAGGTTCTGGTGGATCAGGTTCTTTTTCCTCGTTACTTTTCGGCCCAAAAGCTGTAAATTTTAAAATTTTATTATCTCAAAAATAAAGCTAAAGAAAAAATACCTTCAACAGGTTCCACAAGTTCTTCTTCCCCCGGATTCATATTTCTCACCATAACAATTCCGCCGATAGAAAAATCTTTCAACGCTACGTATTGACCACCCTCAGGATTTGAAATAACTTTTAATTGTTGTCTCATTACTCTAGCCGGATTACTTAAAATTTCGAAGGTAGGATCTGGTTCTTTTTTCTTTTCCTCTTTGGAATCGTCTTTAATTTCTTTTTTATCGTCTGATTTTTTATCACTAAGTTTAATTTCTGATTTATTTTCCATTTTATTCTCAACTTTATTTTCTGTTTTATTTTCAATTTTTTCTTGAGGCTTACTTGGAGTTTTAGGTGGTGTTTTTAGCGGTGTTTTTACTTTTTCTTGTGATTTACCATCTTGTATTTTAACATTTTGTATTTTAGAATCTTGTATTTTAACATTTTGTACTTTAGCATCTTGTATTTTAGTATCTTGAATTTTAGCATCTTGTATTTTGACATCTTGTATTTTAACAATACCTTTATCTTGAATTACATCCGGCAATTTATTCTTTATACTTGATACAAAAACTTGCTTTTTTGTGTCATCAATCACCATTTTCTCAACTTTTTTATCATCTTTCTCCGGATCCTAAACAAACAACAAAATATAGAAAACAAAAATAAATCCCCAACAATACTAACCACATCCATCTTTTCATCTCGATGTCTTCCATGTTCTCTTCTTCTTTGTCTCGCAGCGATGCTTAAAACGGCCGATGCAATCTTTTCGCGTTCCTCTCGTTTTTTCTCTTCTAATGGTGGAGGATAAGCAAACATAGACGGTTTCGCATTTGATTTAAAAGTTAATTTCGGCATTTGTAATTTTGCATTCAATGCGATCAAACAAGTTGGTGTAAAAGCTAAGGCTAAACAGTGAGCCAACGGAAACCAGTACCAATATTGTGTGAAAACCAACGCTCCAACAACTCCCATCATATTTGTATGTCCAGTTCTTGATTGTAACGATAAAGTTACATTTCTTCCACCGGCGTCGATAATCCCTTGTGCTAAAATTGCGCCGAATTTCGCCATAACGTCGTCGTGTTTATTGGAAATTACCGTGGAATAAGATTGACGGAAAAATGATGCTTTAGAGCAGGTTTGATCGGTTTGTTGGATTAAAATCATTGCAGACGCGATTAAAGCTCCTTGTCTTACAAAGTTGATTGCGTCAAACATTATCATTGGTTCTAATAAATTGAGGGCTTCACGAAGTCCTGTTCCTGCACAAGCTATTCCTAAAGCCATTGCTGCTCCATAACGGACGTGAGGATTGTAACTTTCTGCCAGTAATGATACTACACTTGGACAGTGATCAGGAGTTCTGAAAGATATTAGAAAAGATTTAATTGATTTGATTTATTGTATTGTGCTTTAATTTTTAAACACTGCATACAAAAATTTTCAAAAAATCATATCGACTAAGTTTTTAAGAATCATGATATGATATGTATGTTAAATTGAAGCTTAAAGATTCTAGTTTATGATGTGATATAAAAACTATAACATAATATTATTGAAATTTCCAGGAAAACATGGTTAAAGAAGAAATTGATAAATTTATGAATCAAAAATAAAGCGAACTTTTCAAAAAATCATATCGACTGTGTTTTTATGATTTATGATATGATATGGATGTTAAATTGTAGTTTAAAGATTGTAGACTATGATGTAATATAAGAACTATAAGATAATATTATTAAAATTTCTAGGAAAAAATTACTAAAGAAGAAATTGACAAATTTATGAATCAAAAATAAAGCGATATTTTCAAAAAATCATATCGACTGTGTTTTTATGATTTATGATATGATATATATGTTAAATTAAAGCTTAATGTTTCTAGTTTGTGATATAATATAAAAACTATAAGATAGTGTTATTGAAATTTCCAGGAAAAAATGGTTAAAGAAGAAATTGACAAATCTATGAATCATAAAGCGAAATATTCAAAAAATCATATCGACTGTAAGTTTAAGAATTATGATATGATACGCGTGTTAAATTGTAGCTTAAAGATTGCAGACTATGACGTAAGATAAAAACTATAACATAATATTATTGAAATTTCCAGGAAAAAAGTATTAAAGAAGAAATTGACAAACTTATGAATCAAAAATTAATCCAAATTTTCAAAAAATCATATCGACTGGGTTTTTAAGAATTATGATATGATATGTATGTTGAATTGTAGCTTAAAGATTCTAGTTTATGATGTGATATGAAAACTATAACATAATATTATTGAAATTTCCAGGAAAACATGGTTAAAGAAGAAATTGATAAATTTATGAATCAAAAATAAAGCGAACTTTTCAATATCGACTGTGTTTTTATGATTTATGATATGATATGGATGTTAAATTGTAGCTTAAAGATTCTAGACTATGATGTAATATAAGAACTATAAGATAATATTATTAAAATTTCTAGGAAAAAAGTATTAATGAACAAATTGACAAATTTATGAATCAAAAATAAAACGAAATTTTCAAAAAATCATATCGACTGTGTTTTTATGATTTATGATATGATATATATGTTAAATTAAAGCTTAATGTTTCTAGTTTGTGATATAATATAAAAACTATAAGATAGTTTTATTGAAATTTTTAGGAAAAAATGGTTAAAGAAGAAATTGACAAATCTATGAATCATAAAGCGAAATATTCAAAAAATCATATCGACTGTAAGTTTAAGAATTATGATTTGATATGCGTGTTAAATTGTAGCTTAAAGATTCTAGACTATGATGTAAGATAAAAACTATAAGATAATATTATTGAAATTTCCAGGAAAAAAGTATTAAAGAAGAAATTGACAAACTTATGAATCAAAAATTAAGCAAAATTTTCAAAAAACCATATCGACTGTGTTTTTAAGAATTATGATATGATATGTATGTTAAATTAAAGCTTAATGTTTATAGTTTGTGATATAATATAAAAACTATAAGATAATGTTATTGAAATTTCCAGCAAAAAATTACTAAAGAAGAAATTGATGAATCAAAAATAAAGCGAAATTTTCAAAAAATCATATCGACTTTGTTTTTATGATTTATGATATGATATATATGTTAAAATAAAGCTTAATGTTTCTAGTTTGTAATATTATATAAAAACTATAAGATAGTGTTATTGAAATTTCCAGGAAAAACTGGTTAAAGAAGAAATTACAAATTTATGAATCATAAAGCGAAATTTTCAAAAAATCATATCGACTGTATTTTTAAGAATTATGATATGATATGTATGTTAAATTGTAGCTTAAAGATTCTAGTTTATGATGTGATATAAAAACTATAAGCCAATATCATTAAAATTTTCTTGTAAAAATTATCAAAAAAGAAATTGACAAATTTATGAATAAAAATAAAGCTAAATTTTCAGAAAAATCATATCGATAGTGTTGTTAAGAGTCATGATACGATATGTACATTAAATTGTAGCTAAAAAATCTAGTTTATGATGTGATATAAAAACTATGAAATAATATTAATTAAATTTACAGGAAAAAATCATTAAAGAAAAAATTTTCCACTGTTTGAACTTTTTTTAGTTTATACACACAATTTTTATAATGATAAAAGTAGTTACCTTAATTCCTTTGTTAAATTTATGCTTAAAAGAGGTCTCTGAAGATACAACGTTAGGTGCCCTTTTTAAATCGGAAGCAACTCAAGCTTTTCAGTGAGAGATGGCGCAACTTACAATAAAGCTTTAAAGCAGCAATTTAACAGAGTATCTCCAAAAAAGGATGTCATTAAAAGAATTACTGCGGGGAAAACTTAATTACATCGAGAATTTGGTTGTGTTACTTCATTTTAGTTTAGGATAATGCCATAAGGTTTGAGTGTAAGTTAATTGAACTTGAGTTGTTCTCTTTGTTTAAAAGCTACTTACTTAAATATAATAAAGTCCTTGTTTACCATAATTTTTTTTTGTTTTTTTTTATTAAATCAAGAATTACAGTTTAAATTAGCAAAAACACAAAGGTCTTATAATCCTTATTAAAATGGAAAATCCTTGTTAAAAGACTTCAGGAAGTTTAAGGATAACTTTTTATTAAAACAACTTTAACAACTAAACTTTTTATCGTAAATTTTCAGTCGTTATCTTTGATTACGGCGCGTGCACTTAAACAAACGAAATGAAACTGTTACGTATGTTGAAATACACGCGCCGTCGAGCGTGGTGAACACCAGACAAAATTGCAACTTTGCAATATCCTTCGTGTGCAGATGGCATCCCTCGACCGGAAGCTCCAATTCGACTATGTCTTCCTAAAATTGAGCTTTCCAATTGAATTTTACTACTCCTAATTAGAAACTTTGTTTTCAATTTCAATTCTAAAATTTGTTTCTTCTATCAATTTAATTTATTTTTCTTTTTGGAAACTTTGTTTTCCTTCAATAAGGGTTACAATGTGATGATTATAATAAATGTTGTTACGGGTCTGATGAAGTTCCGTTTTGTTTTTGAAACTATACGCTCGTAAATAAAACACATTGGCGATGATTGATAGTCTTTGAAACGTGCGAGGACATTTTCGCATCGTCATCGCAACTAAAACGGCGCCTTTACAACGATAAATTTACCACAACATGAATATTGCAGTTATAGTGTTAAGATAAATAAATTATCCGTAAAGAGTTTATCCAAGTCGACAACATAAATTGTTGAAGATTTGAGTTATTTTAGCGGAAGTTTGTTATCAACAGAGTATTCAAAACCATCGTCTCAAATTTACTACACCACCATAGATCCTGCTACATATAATCAATAGATCTTATCGAAGAGGAGAGAGAACATATGACCTAATTTAAGTAAAGTTGGCTTCACAAACTAAAGCTTCTACCAAGCTATCGGAAGCTCCATTCACAAGCGATCCCGTATCATAGTTTTGACTCCCACATTCACTAGCGATCAAACTTTTTGAACAAATTGGAAGAAATTTAAAACAGGTTAAAAAAACACTCTAAATTTAGAAGTTGCTATTTTTAAAATGAGTGTGGTTAAAAACTGTCAAAATGAAATTCTCGTGTAAATTTGTTAGTTTAGGATCCGATTGTGTTAGGTGGGTCTATTTTTGAAAAGACCATGTGTGATATATCAGTGTGGATGTTAAGTGTTTGGTGGAGAAGAAACCTAAAGAGTTAAAGTAACTGGACAGGGTGTTATTTTAGATTTTAACACATATCTAAAGGATTTATTATTGGTGGAGAATAGTTTTTTTTTACAATTCTCTTTGAGTAAGATTAATAAGTTAAGAAAAAAAAATTAAAGGCGTTTTTTGTTTCAACTACAAGACAAATCGCTTATTATTACCAAATCAACACTCACACAACATCCGTAATTTAACAGTATTTCTGTTGAATCGATTCATTATTTTTTTTTTTTTAATATTTACGACTCCACATTTTAAATATTTATAACTTCACGTAATCCCATAAAATATAACATCAATATTTATAGATTAAAACATTGGGGTTATTGTAAAAGTCTATTTCACGATTAATGCCCAATTTTAAAAACATAATACTTAAATTATATTGCTTAGATGTATTTCATTATGTTTTATTGGATCATTAATAAATTTGGGTTGAATGAAAGGCGGGGATGGTTAAAATTATTAATAAAATCATTCCGATGAGAATCATCCTTTTTGGTGGAAAGACGTCAGACGGAAGAAATAGACCGGTATAAGTTTAAGTGCAATTTAAATTACGTTAAATTTTCCAATATCCCGTCGTGACAGACGAAAATGGGCTTCGTTAAGGTCGAAAGGTTATTACATACTTCTGGCGTCATTCCTAAACACGCCAAGCGAATTTACTGGCTCGTAAAAAGGCGGACGCATTTTATTTATACAACCCCATAGAGTGCCATAAGACCGAATATAAGAGTGTGTTATTTTACCCTGTATATAGGGAAATGACCCAATATCGACATATCCACTTAATCTTTACCGCATTATTTATTATTTTTATAGGGATAGGGTGATTTTTATTCAGATTTTTTCAAGGATAGAAAAAAGCATTCCTCTCATTTTTCATCTCCCCTTTTTATATGTAGGCCATTCCTCGGTTTTAATTAATCCGTTGTCGAGTATTAAATAGGTCAAGACGCCACAAACCAGCATAAACTTGCTGCTTCTTGATTAAACGTCTCAATATGACGTCTAATCAACGCGTTTACATCTTGTTGAAACCTGTTCGATCTATCGACATTAAATTAATGAATTTTTTTTTTATATAAGTTATTCTATTCTTAAATTATTAAAAAAAAATTGTTTATTATTAATTAAGCGAAAATATTTGTCATAACACAAATTTTATTTGATCCATTTTCAATTTGAAACTAATTTTCCTAAGTGGAATATCCGTTTGTATGTATTTTCAAAACTTTTTCAATAGAGAACAGGGTTATTCACCAGTTTGGAGGAGAGACGATTTATCCGATTGTCAGGGGGTATTTTGTGTAATTGACGTGGAAGTATGTGACACCGTTGTCATCGGCACGTGCGCGCCCATAATCGAACTCGTACCCAACAGTTGGAGCTTCTATTCCACCCTCAGCTGCCTAACTCCCATGAAGTTATGACGACGACGACGACGGCACGTCGCGATGACAGCAATCATGGAGTTCTCGTGTCGGTTTTCGGAAAAGTGCGTGACCGAGTGGAGCAGGGTTCTCGATGGGTGACATCAACCGAATAACATGAAGAATGTGGTCAAATATTAATATTTCAAGGAGTCTATTTTTAATAAAATTCTATATCTTTGAAATGTAACCATTTAATTGTATTTAACATAAATTTGTTTCCATAAAGTTAACGTCTCGATACTTTAATCAAATTTTCCAAGAATAAAACATCCAGAAACGATCCATTAGCAGTGTTAATCTTCGGAACATGGTATTCCAAATCAATTAAAATACGAGTTAAGAAAATACGAATTATCGTAATCTTCTTCTGCGTCGTATTCTCATAACTGAGAAGTCGTGATTCTATGTTTATGAACATTCTTTTACTTTATTCCTCTATAATTGGCGATTTTGCCACCTAATTGGCGATTTTCCCCTTGGTTTTCTGCCTTTTACTTTTCCTTGGACTATTAATTTTTCCAGGTTATTTCCATCTTCCGTGACATATTCCCCCCTATATAAAAGGAGTTCTGTACTAAACTTGTGTACTTTTCAAGTTTTTCATAGAAAAGGAGAATTATGGACGTTTTCGTTGTGTCACTTTATAGAAAATTTAAAAATACTCATGAGTATGCTAAAAACATGTCGTATCTGAGTAGCACAAAGAACGAGTGTAACATTTCCGGTGCCAGACAAGTTTTAGTATTTTATGTCACTTTGATGTATCCCAATAATGCTAAGTATACCTCAGTTCATGTCCAAAATGAACTAATTAACATCTGCGGTCAGGTTATAGAAATACAAATAGGTGTTGAAAAGAGTATTTCCTAGAAAAACAACACTACGCAATTTCTGAATAAACATGCAAGAATTGAGGGGGCAACAAAAATTAAAATGAAACAATGCAGGGTAAACTTCTATTGTGCATCATATAGACTGAATTTAGTTATTAATGGGGTATGCCCAGTTCTGCAAATTCAAAATTGTTCTTTAAGTATCAAAGAAATTGTGCAATTATTCAAGAAAGTGTCTTAGGAAGATGGTAGCAAGTTTAGCTTTCTTATGCGAAATACGACGGTTGGCAGATCAGCTATATTGATTGAAAAATAAAACTTATTGTTGCCATGGTCATAACAGTGCCAATGCTTTTGACGGTGGTGGCATAAGTTTTCTTGACGTTAAGAATCACAAAAGAACCCATGAAGTAGTTTTTAAAGGAACGGCCAACGGCATCAAGTTCACTAGTGAAATGCGCATTGTTCAATGAACTCTCCGGATGAATATTATACTAAAATTCTTTACGTTATTTGCTTTCAGAATCCGAAATTTTTAATATCCCCGAATTCAATATATTTTAAAATGAAATCGTTGTGAAGAAGCATATATATTGATTACAATATTGATAAGGGAAGCAAATTCCAACAGATTTAACACTTTATGACGCTTTGAAGGAAACTGAATTTTTACAGCAATAGGGCTCTTATTGCTTTTATGACTTTTTTTATGATCGGCAATGATTTGTTCCGTTGAAAGAAGTTTAAGCATCTTAAGGAACGCTATGACGTGTTAAAAATAATAAATATGTTTAATAGTGATTTTGCGAAAACCCGGATTCCGGATATCCGGCATATCTATCCGGCAATTATGGTTATAATTTATAGTACATTTCTGAAGTGATATCCTACACTGCCACATTATTGCGATATTTTAATAAAAATGAAATTAATAAGACAGCTGATAAGATATGTCAACTTATTTGGATCCAAGATACAAAATGAACTTTTTTTTATGCTGATTTAACTAACGAAGCAACTCTAAAAAGAGGATACTTTAATTAATAATTGGCGATATTTCCACAAGGATCCTTCAAGAAATGAATCTTATGGCGAATTTTGAAAATTATCTATGAAAATTGCAACATCGAAAATTTTATCAAAATTTTAAATATTATTTTCTCAAAAACTAAAAGTTATTTTTGAAAACGTGTTAGTTCATTGGAAAGAGGACACTCTTATTAACACTTTGGAAAATTTTCATACTCATATTCCAAGAACTGGATTTTATACGAATTCTTAAAACTTAATCGGCGAAAATTGCAAAATTCGAAAAAATTGTCGATTATTTCAAATATTGATTTCTCAAGAACCAAAAGTGATTTTTCAAAACGGCTTTTTGCATTAAAAAGAGGATACTTTAATTAATAATTGGTGACATTTTCACAAGAATCCTTCAAGAAAATTTTATCAAAACTTCAAATATTGTTTTCTCAAAAACTAAAAGTTATTTTTCAAAATGGGTTGGTTCATTGGAAAGAGGACACTTTTATTAATACTTTGGAAAATTTTCATACCCATATTCCAAGAACTGGATTTTATATGAATTCTTAAAACTTAAACGGCGGAAATTGAAAAATTCGAAAAAATTGGCAATCATTTCAAAAATTTATTTCTCAAGAACTGATAGTGATTTTCCAAAACGGCTTTTTGCATTACGAAGAAGATACTTTAATTAATAATCGAAAGTGATAACAGCGACAGTTCTGTTAGTAATGAATGTGATGATGAATTACAAGCGAAGAGAAGGAAACTAGGCGAAACTGCAACAAGAGATTTTATATATCGTAGTGGGATTGGTACAATGAGGTTGCTAAAGACAAACCTGATATAAATAAAGTTGTATTCAATGAAAAAAGTCCTATTGGGGTTGAACTTGATAATTAGCTGTAGTGTCCAACACCTAAAAGAGATACTAATTCATGTGAATGGTTGAGTACTAAGTAATAGGTTTTTAATATCCGGCCAAAGCCGAATATTTGGTAACAATTCGGTATCCGGCCCTTTTTAAAAAGTGGCCGCATACCGGATAGTTGCCGGATATCTATTCCACCACTAGTTTTAACCATTAAAGAAATTAATATCTATTCATTCGGCTTCTGAACATGGTAAATATAAAGGATAGGCAAACATTTTGTGAAGACAAAAGTAGAAATAGATAGTTCATTAGAAAACAGACATTCTTACCAAAATGTACATTTAAAGAAGTCAGATAAGACTTACATACAAGGAAATGAAGATAGACGTTTTAATAGAGATAGAAGTTTTAATAGAAATAGAAATTTTAATAGAGATAGAAGTTTTAATAGAAACAAAAACAATAATAGAAGTTAGACAAAATTTTTACATAATTTGTTACATACATACTGAAAAGTTATTTTTCGAAATATTACACTGCAAAAAGATGTACTTGATGCAGACAAATTAGATATTCTTAACAAACTTACACTAGCTGTCATCCGAAAAGCTCGTACGAAAGTCTTCTTGTAACTGTGAGATGAATAATTTTAAAACTTAGTAGTCTACTATTTTTGTAAGATAAAATTTATGTTACGATTTATGTGCAAATGAAATCTTTTAAAGGAAAAAAAAAGTATAAAACCAAAATGTATCATTAAAAATCTAAGTGTTAAAGTATTTTATGTTCAAACAACAAAGGAAAATCTGGTCGATATTTTAATATGACAAGATGTGAATGTTTTTTTAGTTCGTGAGTAATTAAAAAAAGTGACATGGAGGTGTTTAAAAAGGTCTGGTTGTTTGAACTGATTCAACAAGCAACTGGTTGCTTCGTTTTGGTTCCCCCGGTGCATGAAAAGCTTTTGTAATGAAGTTCGAGAGTGGATGGAACATTTCTCTTCAGTTTTATTTCTCTAGTGTTTATGTTGCCTCTTCGAGGTGAGTACATAAAAATAATCACAAAAGAAAAAAAAAAAGATGATAAAATTTGCTGGTATTTAGTAATTATAGTTTTGTCATCATAAAATAAAACGGTCTTGGTGGCAACAAGTCCAATAATTAGATAATTCGTTTACTGTTGTTAATAACTACTAACAATGTTATTGTAGTCATGTTTTCTCTTTATCTTATCACGTTTTGTGGTTGTTTAACATTACTTTTTTCACACAGAAATTGCGCTAATTAATTTCCGTTTGTTAAAACACAAATTCTACATAAATTTCAATATTAATCAGAAAATTGAAAACAACTCTTATCTATATTCATTTATTTTAGCTGTCTAAACTTTTAGATTTTATTTCAGTTTTTTTCAGTATTTCAGATATAAAACCACCACAGTATAGAAAGTTGAGAAAAAGTTTTTTGGGTGTAAGATAAAGTTGGCTTTTCCCCGATCTTTCGCAAAACTCGTCCAAGAATAACGTGGGCTTTTTTCAAGGATTGCACCTGCATTCACACGCGAGTTTATCTCTCACCTCTAACGGCCGCGATGTGCGCCGCCGACAAACTTAACAACCGACGCCAGTCTGACGCTGGCATCGTTGGCGTCTGGACCGGACGACAGACGCGTCGTTTCACGGCGTCGATTTCGCGAGCGAAAAGTTTCACACCGAACGAAAGATTGCGGAAAGTGATCTTGTAAATCTGAGTGTTACCGAACTTTCTTCATTTCAGAAAACTTTCAATGTAATTCCGCATTAACATTTTTTTTAACCCCAAGGCAAGTAAATTTTAGTAATTTTTTGAAAAAGATTTTTGTTTTTTGAAAATTTATCTTACGTAAACCTTTTCACCTGCGTATTCTCATTGTTGAATATTATTAATTATTGTGTATAAACTCCATGGTGAAGTTAAAGTTATGATTATGTGGTAAATATTTTAATACGAAATTTATAAGAAATATTACTTACAAAGAGTTTTAGTTAGTTGAAAGATTTTGTTGTATAAAACTAAAACCCACTATAAAGTTTTAACTAGTTTTATTAAAATTACAATGGAACTATGAAACCGACTAACTGATTAAATTTAATCCTGAAACAAGTTGAAATGTATTCATTCATTCATTTGCCGAGTATTTTCAGTTAAATTAAATTTTCTTGTCTAATATTTCCTATTTCTATAATATCATATTTCCACAATCACCACCATAAAAATACAAAAAGAAAAAATTAAATTGAAACTATTGATTGAATCCAAACATTTATTGCATCTCTCACATACACTGAAAATGCGGTTAAAACTAAATTAGAGACACACGAAGACGTGTACTAGAAGTCTATCCAATTTCTTGATGGAGATACCCCGAGGACCTCAAAGTATAACTTAATTTCGAATCGGTACAGCACTTCCGCGAAGTTTGTATAACACGAAACGACAACAACTCGAACGAGAGTAATGGGATTCCAAAGTCGCGTTCGATTTATTACACAAGATATTCGATCATTACCCCGAGCAATTACCTATTAACCAGTCAACTAAACTGTATATAGAAGGGGAAATTAGCGGAAGACTAAAACGAAAATTGATGTACAAATTATAAATGAGTATAGCGGGAATGCGATTTTAAATATAAATGGATTTTATTTGATCTTGAATGACTAAGAATGGGCTATCTGGGGAAATTTGGGGGACAAAAAGTAATTAAAAGTGCCATAAAAACTTGTTGCCTTGTGTTGTTTTGGGGAGTTTATTACAGGAATTGTTCGTTCTTTTTTAGGGGAAAAACGTTTTAGCACTTTTAACACATACATTTATTATTAACACTTTGAAATAAAAAATCAAATTACAACAATATCTCTTAATTAGTAGTTTTAAAGTGTTCTATATATATTAATCAAATCATCCTGAAGATTTATAACACAAAAACATATAAATTGTATTTTTATGGAAAAACATATTAATAAAATTACGTTATTGCAGCCGTTAGACCATAAAACTGATTGTAATTATTATTTTTTGATACCAATATTGTTTCATGAATATTAGCAAAGAATTCTCTAAGTTATCGAAAAATTTAATCTTTTTCTTCATCTTGATGAAACTATAACAATTCATGATAATGCTAACATTCCTGTTATTCAGGAGCAGTGAAATTGTATATCATAGCAATAATAATAATAATGTTTATTGCCTCAAAAACAAATATTTAGAAAAATATATACATTCATGACAAATATAGACATCAAGACAAACGGATCAATTTATCGCAATAAGCGATATCTTCCAAGAGACTTAACTGGTGTCAACACAGTGTATACAGTGACACAATAAAGTCCATAATTAAATAAGAAGTCCATATTATTTACATATTTTACATAAAAACTATATAAGTTATTATATAGAATAAAGACTGACGAGAAGAGGAATCTGCTCCGACGCTAGTGGACTTAGAATAAGTTAAAGCATTCCGAACCTCAGCATCTGTAACCAAGCTGAATGAAAAGGAAAGCACGTTGGTAGATGCAAGGCGTCATCTCAAGATGTAGCTCAAGAAGTTACTGTGATGAAGTTCTAGCTGGTATTAACTTTGGATTTGCCTGTTAAGGTTCTTTGAGAAACACTCATATAGGTATTCCTAACTGATACTCACGCAGTCTGAGGTTGAATCGAAGCTATCACCTCACAGAATAGATTTTGTAAATAATTGGACATTTTAAAGAGTTTTTACTGTTCTTGGGCTGCCATAATGGATGTCACCTGTACTAATTCCAGTATTGTCGAAACTGGATTCAAGTAAATGATTAATGTGGATAAAACCAATGAGCGTAAATTAGCAATTGATGGCTTTCAAAATAGGGGCGTTCATGCACAACTTTACCATGACCTGTAAATAAAGCAATCCTTCATAAATAGTGTGAATAAACCAAATATATGTGATAAGCAACTGGGCCGAATTCCTTTGTTAAATCCAGAAACTTGCCTACCGTAAGTTTAACATAGACACACTAGTTTTAAGAAACGCTAACAAGTCTAATTGAATCTACCGCAGTGCTGATATTAGTATATATTTCCCGTTTACTATGATTCTAATAATAATGGTCATATAATGGCACAGGAATTAGCCACACCATAAATGTAAAAGAGGTTTAGACAGTACAAGGATCAAGGGGTTACCTGGTCTTGTATAGTAACGGGTGTGAGCGCGGACGACGACTGCCAACAATGATCTTAGTCGAGACTCCTGTGACTGAATTCAATCAAACAAATAACTCCATTGCTCTGAAGATGGACTTAAATAAAACGGTATCAAAACCTTGAGGAAGGCACAGTCTATGCTGCTAAAACTTCCTTGATCTCATTAAGTTGAACGAGGCGATGCGCAAGCAGATTTTCAATTGTTGGAATCGACTGAATTAGAAACTTTTGGCTTAGGAAATGATCCATATAAAAACCATTAGTAGCCGACATAAAATAGTGTTTCGTCGTTTTCTCGTGATATTTCTTAAATCTTTATCTAATTGTTTACTTCATTCTCGCGACTTTAGACATAAATAATCTTGGATAAACACGAATTTCTGCTTATAATGGTGGATGAATACCAAGAATATGAATCGGATATCGCCTGTTCGTTCATGGATACGATACAGAGAATATAGGTAATATACGTTACAAGACTTAAATGGACGATGATGACACGAAAATGTTTAAGGTTTTATTAAATGTTGAACTGCATGCCGATGATTTTAAAATTCGGTATTCTATTGTGTAACGTATAATAGACAATTTAATTAATAGATATTTTGACACAAAAATAGATGAGTTATTAGGGGCTTGTAATCCGTCGAGACAGCAAATCTGTCAACCCGGTGTAGCTGTGCGAGAGAATTTTGAACTCCCTTCTCATTTGGAAGTGCATATTTTACCAATACACGAAGAGCTCTCCTTCTCGATTTAGTGTCTCCTAGAACAATGCTTTAGTTGGTAGCTCTCTCAAAATTATGATGAACACTTAACTGAAATGGCATATTGTATCTAAATACCTATATTGCGTTGTAAATTATTAGGCTACTTCGTGAAGAGGATGTTATTATTGAATGATTTTCAGGAGAATGAAACGAAAAGAATGAAATGTTTAAACACAACATTGTACAACATTGCACAACACATATAACACTGTAACGAAAGAAGTTTCTTGTAATTAAAAAAGAACTTCATAATAAATTAGGATTAAGAATTAACATTTTGATAGAAAATTTAAGTTATAATGCATGATCTGAATAAAATTGTTAACGTTTAAAATTTATCTATAAATAGTTTCAATTCTGTGTTTTTCTTTGGTAAAAAAATAAACTTTGATCTTTCCCCCTTGTGGATAACGTTCGAGTACCAAGAGGAAATCGCATATTCGATTCGTTTCAGAGTAGCTCTTATTTCAGAATAAAAATTGGGTACACGTCATCTAATATATTTTATTTGTGATATTTCTTTTATTATGAAAATAATTTCTGTATAAATCTTATTACTAACGTAAGATACAACCGTCTTACGACGGAACCCGAAACTTTCTAGAGCTATCTAACCAAACACGACCCTAAATTCCAATTTAGATGAAAGGCTACTTCATTATTCATTATTAAAAAGCACGACTACGCGTTCTGTATCTGTTTCTTTCATAATAAATTAATGACGAAGATGTTTTTTTATCTGATGGGACACCAAAATTGATGCACAACAAAATAAATTTTTGTTTTGATATAATCGGTTGGAATGATGCATTGCGGTTATTAAATAAAAGTGCAGAAACAGCATCTGGTATGATAATTCCACTACAATCAGAGCGCATCAAATTAAAATCAAGGTCTGGTCAAACAATATTATATTTTTAGATCAGTAAAGCCCACTATATTGCGGCAATACCAATATAGCACTGCTCATATTGAACACATTCACGATGTCGTATAATAACGAATAATTTGTTTACACTGTGAGATACCGTCAAATATTTGATCGGCTTATTTATAGAAGGTTGTGACGCGCGGTTTGGAGTAGCTATCAACTATTTAAACTTTCCAACTTTTCTTTATTCAATATTTTGAGTTTAAACAAAATGAAAACAAATAGATAATAAATTATTTAGGAATAATCTTATAGATAAACATAAAATTTTTATTCATAAGGTACTTAAGGATTAATTGAATTAATATGGTATGGAGGGATCACTCTTGAGATGTTTCCATCAACGGGGAATCTTATTAGAGGTCGTAATCAGGTACTGCACGTATTAGGTGATGGTACCTAATAATTGTCAATCTAGAAGGGAGACGAAAGCGGATCGAATTTGCTACAAAATTGCATCCCAAGTTCGGTTTCAAATTTTTCTTTACAAAAGTTGAAAGACAAAAATGCAAATTGTTTTAAAAAGTTGTGTGACACGGAAGTTAAAGTTTCTCTACTAGAATTTTGTTTCCTTTTTTTTTTTCGTTTTATTCGTTTTTCTTGTTTTCGTCGACTTTTCCGGTAGAAAAAATCTCGGTTATCCCTATATCCGCGTGTATTCCCTGGTGATTATTAAACACCTTTTAGAAGAAAAAGTAATAAATTTCATGGGGATTTCAAAGGAAATTTATCGGGAAAAGAAAAAAAGTTTTTAAACGAATTTTTAACGAGAACAAAAACTTATTTAGATCTTAAAAATGTTAAAATAAAAAATTAGCGATAAATTAAAGAAGCTATAATCATTAACTACACGGTTTCAATTACAGCGACAACGATTAAACGGTTACAATGGCCAATTACTGTTAGTTACTGGATCCGTTGCAGACTGTCTAAGGAATTGATGGAATATGATTAAAATTCGTCGTAATACGTTCGGAGGAAGCGATCGTTAAGGGAAAATGGGATTTGAACCCGACGATCGGTTACAAGTCCGCATGTTGCCGGAGCAGAATCTGCATTAATTTTCCTCTGGGAGTAATTAATACTTCAACACGTTCATAATTGAATAAAATTGTTTGTTTGAATAATTGAAAAGCAAAAATAGGTTGAGAGCGCGGTTCTTGACACAACAAACGAAACGTCGACACAACACCGAATCGTTTGGATTTTATTGAAAATTATGTGGTGGTACGATATAATTGAAAAACAATGAACGTTCAAACTCGTCATTCGATAGAGTGCATTAATTTACGTTTCCAAAAACGCTTTTATGTGGTGGCTAATAGAATTAAAATGAATTAAAATGCCGTTTGACTTGGTCCTAATGATGAATCGTTGTAAATATTATGGTATCTCGGGCACCCAGAATACCTTGGCAAAATACCAAAACGTTATAAAAAAAAAATTGAAATGAATTCTTAACATTCTCATAGTTTGTAGATAATGGTTTAGAGTAAGAACCGCGTAGTTTAACATAATAATCATTAGCGGAACGATTTTGTATGGCGAAAACGAATTTAACTGTGAATAACCGATCGCGTTTGAAAACAAATAGTTTCGTTCGAAATTTGCTGCCGAATAAACAAACCGCATCGTTGAGTTTTAGTGCTTTATCGACACTACAACTCGACTTCGTTTTTTGATTCTTCCAACTTTACAATTAAACCCCCGACCCAGCTTCCGACCGGAAAACCCTATTAATTTCGCGTGCGGCAGAGAACTATTACATTTCGGCGAGAGAGATCCCCCATAGAATCAAATCCACCCGCTTTCCCCTTTAACTATGTATTTACTAGGAATAATTGCTATTGATTCGTTTGTGCCATTCCGAACTGTAATTATTGTTGACGTGATAATGAACTGTTTATTCTAGATCAATCTTGATAACGACTTTTTCTGCTCGTGTTGTCTAAATTGGTTGATAAAAATTTAATAAAGCGTAAAAATTACAATGTATTTATTAATAATAATCAAATGTTGACCTTTTTTTTGTAGGTATTATTCATACACAATGTGTTATAAAATTTATTAAGCCACTTGGTAACATTACGTCAGCATTAATTAAGGGATAAACGGATGTAGTAAGTTCTTGTTAAAATGTTACTATACAAAGGATGAGAACGCAAGATTAAAGCTTTTTTAAACGGATTGTGCATCAATTCTAGTCAATCCATAATTTACGATATTCAACTCATTCGTATCCATTTCAACCTTTCCTTCATTCAAAAACAGTCAATCCTGCTGATGCCTATAGTTACGACGATAGTTTATGACTTAATCGATTTTCAAAATTTTGATCATTATTTATGCATCTGAGAGCAAAAGTGAAAAAAGCAATATAATTTGCTACAACTTTTGTTCTAAAAGTTTTTTTGTAATATGCTCGGTTTCCAGAGTGTTACCATTAACAACTTGAAAAGGCAATAATTCATCAAATTTTCATATTTTCGTCTTTTTTTCGATATTGACGCATCTCAGATCAAATGTGCAAGAGAGCAATATTGTTAGGAATAAAATTTGTTACAACTTTTACTCTAACAGTGTTTTCATAACATGCTCCGTTTCACAAATGATACCATACCATTAACAACTACTAAAATAACGAAATTCATACAATTTTCATATTTTCGTATTTTTCTCGATATCTATGCATCTGAGAGCAAAAGTGCAAGAGAGCAATATTGTTAGGAATGAAATTTGCTACAACTTTTACTCCAAAAGTTTTTTTGTAACATGCTCCGTTCCCAAATGTTACCATTAATAACTAGTAAAATAACGAAATTCATCAAATTTTCATATTTTTGTCGATATTGACGCATTTGAGAGCAAATGTGCAACAGAGCAATATTGTTAGGAATAAAAATTGCTACAACTTTTACTGCAAAAGTTTTTTTGTAACATGCTCCGTTTCCCAAATGTTACCATTAATAACTAGTAAAATAACGATATTCATCAAATTTTCATATTTTTGTCGATATTGACGCATCTGAGAGCAAATGTGCAAGAGAGCAATATTGGTAGGAATAAAAATTGCTACATCGTTTACTTCAAAAGTTTTTTTGTAACATGCTCCGTTTCCCAAATGTTACCATTAATAACTAGTAAAATAACGAAATTCATCAAATTTTCATATTTTCATATTTTTGTCGATATTGACGCATCTGAGAGCAAATGTGCAAGAGAGCAATATTGTTAGGAATAAAATTTGCTACAACTTGTACTCTAAAAGTGTTTTCGTAACAGGCTTCGTTTCACAAATGATACCATACCATTAACAACTAATAAAATAACGAAATTCATAAAATTATAGCATCAGACATCTATGCATCTGAGAGCAAAAGTGCAGTATTGTTAGGATTTATTTGCTACAATTTCTACTCACTTTTACGTCCGATTCGAAATCTCCTTGGAATTCCGCTAAAACGCCAAAATAATACGAAATTAAACGAAAATAACACAAAAATGACCTTCTTTAGATGGTCATAACTTGTAAACGATGTACTTGATTATCAAGATCTATACGTCATTCAATTCGCCATAGTTTCTTTTATCAAAATTAAGTAGGTTTACAGTAAGTTTAGTCTTGTTGTAGATAATCTTTTTGTTATTTATGATTCGACATGATTTCATTTAGATTTTTTTATAGAATTAGAATTTTTCTTTATTTGTTTTCTGGAGATTTTGCCTCCTCCCTCGTTCTTTAATTTTTATACTTCAAGCCAAAAATGAAAAACATAAAGAAAACAAAACTAATTCATCCACTTTACTTAAAGTTTCAAAAAACCCAGATGAATCTCTAAAGCGTATTTACTACGTAAGTTTCAAGTAGGTCGCTGCAGTTTTTAGTTTCCTATACAAAACCGCCACCATTGCAATCAAAATTTTTTTATCTGTTTCTTTTGTTCTCACAAAAGTTGTAAAATTTATTTCTTCTAGTAGCAATTCGGGGAATAACCGATGAAGAGCCTCTAGAGTCTCTCGTCGCCGATTCCAATTTTAAACCTATACGGATCGATTTTATTTATTTTTTTTTTAAACCTTCTTCAACTACAAAACATAGCGTTAATTTACTTCTTGATATCATTTTTTGATGCAATAAATTATGCACTAAAAACTGCTCCAGATCCACAAATTGTTATAAACGTATGTATGTGTTATGTAGATACACAAAACACATCTCTGTCATAACTATTACATCTAGAATAGTATTTCCCTAAAGATTCATATTTTGCCTTAGAAATCCCATTTCAGTAGTATAAACAGTACGTTCACTAATTGAATTCAGAAAGGGCGTATAGTAGGTGAAGGGGAAACCCTTCGCACTTATGGGATCACGTTTTGTCTACAGATGGATACCCGGTTTCGTAGGCACGCAGTTTGCTATCAAATCCGCATTATCCCAACGATATCGGCGCGTACGCCCCTCAAGAACAACGCTTCTGGGATCATCCCAGTTTGTCTAAATTGGAAATCGGTGTGAACGCAACGCGGCGTCCTCTCTTTTTCTCCAATCCGTGTGATCGATAACCTTTTAGAGGTGTCGTTGTCGTGAAATAAGAAAGTTCACCAAACCAATCTTTCTTCTTCTTTTTTCCCCTTTTGCCCTGCCGGCCATAATTAATAATTATCTCCGGCTCTTTGTCTTCGAAGATGGGGGTGGTCTTTTGGGGTCACCGAGAAACCTGAGACTTGCCGGAAGGCCTCTTGTAAGTGCACTTCTTTGCTTTGAGTGTAATCCTTCGCGTTTATTGTCCCTTCTCGTCCAAGGCGTCCTTGGACGTTATCCGTGATGATTAAAACGTAATGTAAGCATTCAATTAAGGGTTTATCTTCGCCTCGTCGAGATTATGTTTCCTTTTTTGGTTCCGTATTGGCTGAGATCATCGTACGTTGATGACTACATTTCGGGGTAAATGTTTTATGTATTCTATGGGGACGGGGATTTAGTTACAACGGGAATGTTTAGCGCGCGAAATGAATCGAAAGAAAATATTTTCGTTCAACATCAATCTCGACGGAGTAATCTATTATCTTTTAATTAAAAATTGGATTTCCGTCTCGAGTATATTGATTTTATCCTGTCTCTGTTTCATATCCTGTCGAGTACAAAAGTTTCAAGATGATAACACAAACTAAAAATTGATACTATATTTTATTTGTTATATGTTTTTTTATTAACACAATTTTATTCTTCTTTTACAGTTATGGTATTTTTAAATCATACATTTTTAATGAATCTAGCCTCGATGGACGTAATAAGAAAGATGGGGAAATTATTATTATTGAACGAGGAGATGATACATCTACTAAAACAACGGTATAAAATCATGGCAAAGTAAAACCATGAACGAATCAGTTCTGCAGAGCGTAGTTGGTAATTGGACAGAATGCGCCTGGAACTCGATGGACCCTGCTCACTTCCGGAATATTACAAGTATAGTGGAACTGTGTGGTGGACTTCCCTCAGGACGAGTGTGCGGTTCATCGTCATTCTTATGTGTCGAGTGCCCCTCAAAGGTCATCAAGTTAAATCAAATTGTTTTTTACAATTTAACCAATTTGACGCGTCTCGAATACGGTTCTTGTAATTGTTCGATGTGCGATTCGGACAATGTTACAGTTTACGACGCGGACGCGTACAATACATACGATTGGAGCTTCCTCATTGTCGTGGTGTTTATCTTTGCGGGTGGTTTGGGGAATATTCTGGTTTGTCTTGCTGTACTGTTGGATCGGCGGTTACAAAACTTTACCAATTACTTCTTGCTATCCCTGGCGATTGCTGATTTATTGGTCAGTTTGTTTGTTATGCCAATGGGTGTTATACCTGGATTTTTACGTAAGTATAAACCGTGTTTAATAACTAATTTAAAAAGTTCTCCATCAATATGCTGTTGGGTTAAAGTTCAGAAAACCCATTAACTTCTACACTAAACGTTATATCCCTATTAAATAGCCTCTACTAGTGGAAGGTTTTATTTAGCCGTCAGGTTTATCGAACATTCTCAAGGGCCACGTATCCCTGGACCGTTTATTATTCGAAATTATCCTACCGTTGTGGGTACTTTACATACACGAGTTTCACACAAGTAGTCTCTAAAATGCATTTTTCTTGAGAACATACTTTTATGTCGCAAAGTAAAATTTAAATGTGGTTGTATACTTTGAACGATTTCTTATTCAAGATTTTATCTTAAAAAAATTTCAAATTCTTTTAAATAAATGATTCACATCTTAAGGGTACCGGGTGAAAAAAATAACAGGTAATCTGAAGTAATCCGCTCCGGTCGAAAGGCACTTTAGGCACTCGGTTCTACCTATGCAGAGCAAACCCACCAAGGCGAAACCCTTAAACACACAAACTCTCGAATAGATGGCGTTCCATCAGGCGTTGCTGCTAAGGTATTCAGCGGGGTTCCCGAAACCTCCGAAATCTGGAAAATTGCGAACGCGAACTAAAGGAGCGGAAGAATAAGAAAAAGACGACAACGAACAAAATCCCAAATGACGTGACCTTCGACCGGTTTTATTGCAAAACGTTTTTTATATCAAACCCACTTATTTAGTTAGTAAAAAAGTACGGATGAGTACGGATGGTTTGGTGGTTAATGAGCAAAAAATGTTTTGGGATGACAAAAAGAAAGGTACCCTTCAAAAGTTTCATTCGCGCTGTGAAGAAGAAGAGAAGGGCATTATTCAATATCATCAGCCGCGAGGAATCGACGACGAGCAAACACTTTAGAAATAAATTTCGCGTGCACCTCATAGTGAAAGGAAAATAAATAAGCCTGGTGGATACGATGCTCGTCTCTCTTTCGCTCGAAATGGCGAATTTCGCAATGAATAGAATCTGAGATTAAATATGCCATATCAGATCGAATACAATGTCCTTATGCTGCTTTGTTGGCTATAGTACACGTAATTACACTTGTGATTATATTTGGTTAGATTTACTATAGGCTTATTCAATATTGTTGTATACCTACATAAATGTAAGTAATATGTCTAGATACTTTGAATACTTTAAAAATAGTCGAGTTGTAATTACATTTGAATTAAGTTTATAATCTAAATCTATTACTAAAATAAATAATTGTTACGTGGATGTTGATCGCAACTTTATGGACTTTGTACCATCCATAAAATTTTCTCCCAAAATAAAGTACTGTATTAAATTGATGTATACGAATTAATTAAAGTAAATCATCCAAAATCATTTTCAATTTGCGTGCGTCTGAAAACGTACGGCTGAAACCTTTTAATTCTAGGGTTAGTGTTAGTTTTAGTTTTAGTTCAATGAAAAATATATAACAATCTAACACTGAATTACAACTAAAACAAGAACTAACACTAGCATTAGTACTAAAACTAAACCTAAAACTAGAATCATTCGGCTTTAGACGTGTTAAGAGACGTACGGCTAAACACGAATGTTTCTAGTTCTTGGTCTAGTGTTAGTTCTACTTTTAGATCAATGTGAAATATAAAACAATCTAACACTGAATTACAACTAAATCCAGAACTAACACTAGACCAAGTTCTCTAGTTCTAGGTCTAGTGTTAGTTCCAGTTTTAGCGCTAACATTTATATTTAAATATACTGATAGTCTTTTATATAGAGGTTTTAATGCATTAAAAAAAATGTAAGCACTAAAATAAGAATGGAGAAAAAATCTTTTTCGTGTTATTTTAACTTTTCACAAATTGCCAATATTCGTGAAACGGTTTCATAAACAAGAGTACCGAAAAAAAGTTAAAAAAAATATACATCCAAAAAAACACCTCTTTAAACTAAAAGTACAAATCGACGTACATATATACCATGTATTTTTTCTCTCTGTGTTAATTCGGTGTGTTATTCAGCACAACCATTTTTATTTTCGATTTTTTTGTTGTTTTTATATGGCTCTATAAAATTCAACAGTTAATTTACACCGTCTATTCATCAAACCTAATTATTTTATATTTTTTTGTAAAAGACGGCTTTTTAATTTTATCCCCTTTTTTTCGGGATGAAAAATGTATTCAAATATCGAAAAGATTTTATTATGCAGGAAAGTTTTAAATTGAAATTTAACATCCTTATTTCGCGAAATGATTTCTACACCTGTTACCAACCATTACGGAAACGTGGCAAAGTCTTTGGAAGGCTCTTAGCTGCTGATCCTTTCGGAATTCATGATTTATGCGATTTGGCGCTATCCGCACTTTACGATTCCGTTCGCGTCGAATCCTATTTTTGTTTCAAAACGAACCCGAAAAGTTTGTCTCGGGATTAACAATCCACGAAATCGATCTCCTTCGCCATTAAGACAACGAAATCTTTCGACTTCGACGTTGGTATTTTCGTACCAATTAAGGCACGATTTTCTAAAGATAGAATTTCCTACGAGATTTCAACTTATTAATATAAAAAAAAAATGAAAGCAAAAAGTAAACGGAAAAGTTTCTCAAGTGAGTTTGGGTTAAATTTAAATTTCAATATTCTCCCAGTAATAAATCGAAATGAAATAAACTTGACGCGATATCCGGTTGTTAAAGTGCGGGTTTCAAGAAAAAATTCAAGCTGGTGGCGCCGGTAATAAATTTTCATTGTTGGCTAAGTTTCAGAAACGAAAAATTTTCACTGAAAACTTGTTAAGTTACAAATTGCTTATACCCAAGATTTATTTAATCTTAAAACATCTTAAGAATTTATATTATTTATTTTATTTAGAAATGATATTGGAACCACTTTAGCGAGTTTAACCTTGTTTAAAATACGATAATATGTTATTAAACATTGCCTAATTTTGAAGCGGTACATTTCCATTAATAATAATTCGAGGTCGTCCCCTCAAAAGCTGTTAATGCAAAGCCACAAACTTAGAGTAAAGCTTTGTTTAAGCTCTAATAGAAGAGGCATGGACATGGAAGATAATGTATGGTAAGCCGTATTCGGTTATCTAAAACGAAGGTCGAATCTGTAACCGAACGACGTGTAACCATCGAGAACTTTCGAAAAGGTCGGAAGTATCGGTTTCGGAAGGAATTTATTTGGTGACATCAAGAATTTAATTAGAATTTAAATCCAAAAAATAATTTTATAAATCGTGAAGGTTTCTTAAAGATATCTAAGACAGAGATTATATATAAAATTTTTGAAAAACATGTTAACCTTGTTAAGTGATAAATGTGTAGGTTGAGCTTAAACATTATTTACTTGAAAACTAAAAGTGCTATTTCAAAACGGAATAAAATAAATTAATAGATATGATTTAGATGAAATTTGTGCTATTTTCTAAAATTATACTGCCGAAGAATATACCAGCTTGTGTTATAATAACTCCTTCTACCGGCAGATTTATCATTTTCTTTATTGGACATGACCATCTAGTTAGTTTTTCCTGTGCTGATTTTTACCCCGAAATTTTGCAGCTTCGTTATTCCAACATTTCAAGTTATTTTGTAGGCTTCCTCTCAACACACAGCATCACATCATCGATAAAGACACATAGCTAAACCTGCAACCTCATCTTTTCTGTTGTTCTTCTCAAAATCTCATCCAATCTGACTATAATCAGTAGCGGACATAGCACTCTTCCTTATCTCACTCTATCTATAGTAGTGTATTAAAGTGATTACTCAGTAACCAATGTGAAATAAGTTATATACGACGGATTAAAAATAGGAAAAGTTTATAAATGTGGTGCTTAAATGTATATGTACTATCAAACCACACACCCAGATCCTTAACCTCTTTAACACAAGTTAACTGCAGGTTGTCCAAGGTTCAATTATGGCCGATCCAATTACATTTACGAGAAAAAGTATATGTTTAAATTGCTATAAATTCTGAGTAATTAAAGATTTACTTTTAATTGGAAGACGTTTATTTTATAAGTTGATGTGTTCGTATTTCAAAAGTGACATCTTTATTTTAATGTAATAAACGACATTAAATAAGAACTTTATGGACGTGTTTTCTCGGTTAACTAGGAATTCGAACTACTTTAAATAGTTCGAATAGCTACTTCATATAAAAAAATATACAATGAACTTCAGAAATGTGATTTAGGTCAATTGTGAAGTACTTAGCCTCAGTTTTGTAGCTTCAATATCTTAACGGCTAGGTTATTTGCCTTATTATGATTGAAACAATGATGTACTTATTTGTATTAACTTTAACTTATCTTACTTTTTGGTCTTTTTGACTCTTTAGCACCTATATTGTCACAATCTTTCTTTTCTGGTTGTTTCCTCCAGCGAATAAACAAGATTTGGGTATTCTGGCGTTCCTAACATTAAAACATTTTTAACATCATATAGTTGCTAGTTAGTTCTTTGTGGGTCATCTTTAGCTAAAAATATCTTCAGTTTCATACGAATAGTTGAAAATCTCACTATATGAAGCATCATAAAGTTGCCAGGATGGTTATAAAAAGTATTTCTAGTACTATAGCATCACTAGCATCGCTTACCAAGGTATTACTTTGGCTCTAATTTTTTAATTTGAGCCTTGTATTTCCCACAAAATTGAACATACTTTCATCGATAGTAAAAAATTGTAAATGAATTTATGAAAACAGTTTGTATGATTTTTTATTTCCGTATCAGATTTATGATAGTCAAATCTGTTATTATAAAAATGAAACGAAATAAAAAAGGAAAGGAAAGACGTCTCAACGCCTTGTTGTTGCAACGTTATAAGATCAGAACATCTATCACGATGGGTAACGAATCCGCGTGTAAGAGGTGGATTATAAATTATTCAACCAGAAGTAGACCTGGCATATTCCCAAGTCGACGCCTATGCCTACGCGTCGAAGAAGAATGGAACAAAAACAATATTCGAAGCGT